ATATATGTCTTAAAAGGTCTTTATTTCTTCTTCACTTTTGAAGAGGAAGTTCAGTATAAATAAAATTCTTGTTTCATTTGGTTGGGGTTTTTTTTCTCTTTATTTCACTCTTAATTTACTCTCTATTTGCCTGCATGGATCCTGAACAGAAGTCTGATATCATTCTTATCCTTGCTCCTGTAAAGGTAAGGTGATTTTCTTCTGGCTTCTTTCAAGAAATTTTCTTTGTATTTGGTTTTCTATAGTTTGAATATGATATGCCTAGGCTGATTTTTTATATTTATCCTTCTTGGTGTTCTCTGAGCTTTCTGGATTTTGTTATTTCATCTGGTATTCTCATTATGCATATATTACACCCTTTTTAGTTGTCTCAGAATTCGTGAATATTCTGTTTTATATTTGACATTTTTTTCCTCTTTGCATTTCAACTTTTGAAGTTCCTGCAGTCATTTCTTTGAACTCACTGATTGTGCCCCCCTAGGCCATGTCTTATCTCTTGATGATTCTATTAAAGACATTCATTACTTCCATTAAGGTGGTTTGTTTTTTTGTTTTTGTTTTGTTTTGTTTTTTTAATTTCTATTATTTCCTTTTGAGCCTTTCTGATGCCCTAACAATATAGGCTTTCCATCTCTCTGCCTCCATTACCCTTATATTATTGCATATTTTCTACTTTTTCCAATAGAACCTGTAGCATGTTAATCATAGATTTTAAAAATTCCTTATCTGTTCATTCTGACACCTCTGTCATATCTGAGTCTGATCCTGATGTTAACTTTCTCTTCAGACTGTGATTTTGTCTTTTATCATGCGTGGTAATTGTTTGCTGAAAGTTGGACATGACCAACTGAGTAAAGGGAACTGATGTCATGGTAACATGTAGGGAGAGAGAAAGCATTCTCAGCCCTCTAGTGAGCCTGTGCAGCTGCGCTTTTTGAATATGCCTGGATTCCCATTCCCTGTGCAAAGGCTTGAAAATGCCTGCAGGCATAAAGTTAGGGCAATTGTAGTACTCACTTCATTTGTTCATCTTTTTTTAGAAATCAGTCCTGTACTGTCATAAACTGTCTAAAAACAATTATATATATATATATATATATATATATATATATATATATATATATATTCCAATTTTCAAATTGTTAACAAAGAGAGGATATATCTGTATCCTTTCACTCCTTCATGGGAAGGCAGTCTTTCTTCCAGGAGTTATGGACACCAGGGAAGTCCATTCATTCAGGACAATCCCCACTTCATCCCATAGGAATTAGGTCTTAATAAAAAATTTGATTTATTCATTCTAGAAAATACTGCATGTAGTAATTCTATAACATAAACAGAGTTAACCCCATTCATTTCTGGATCCATCCAACAGCATCACAATAGAACAATGCCACTATGCCTTCAATATTCTGGGTCTTTCTTCTTGACCTCTGTCCCAACTATGGGACAAGAACTCATGCCCATCCTCTAAGTATATTCAATATCGAATCAACCAATCAAAATCTTAACATGTATAATATATTTTTCTTACAGGAAACATAAGATAACATGCTAGCTAAAGAAGCTTAAAACAAAACAAAACATTATTATAGAGAATTATTCAGCTTTTGAAACCAAATTTTCTTAAATCTATTTCCAAATTTGCTTTATCTTTGAAAAACTTCAAGGTTTATCAAAGTAGTCTTTCAGTGCAAAGAACATCTGCATAATGACTTTATGTCCACAAATTATATAAAAGGAGAATCAGATAAAAGCCTTAAGCTTCTAAGTTATAGTCTTCCCAGAGTCTAATATTTCCACCAAAATTGTAGAGATTCATAGGACTTATTCTAAGCTCTGGGTTAAATTACACTTTTTTTTCTTTCCCTCCAGCAGTCACTCTAAAAGGGAACATTTTCAAAGTCAGTGGCCTAAGAAGGGCTACTCAGCTATGACATGGTCACATCAAGGTTTCTCCCCATGTTTTAGGCTTTCTTCTTGTTGTATGATTCAGATATATATATATATATATATATATATATATATATATATATATATATATTTTTTTTTTTTTTTTTTGCCTTGATCTGATTATACTGCCATATAATCATGGTTGGGAATCAACTGTAGATACAAGATCCTGAGCAAATTCTGAGACCGCCCTTTCATGTGCAGAGTAACTGTGTTGTATAGCCCACTAGGTTGTTTTTAAATAACATCAGATTGTTTGACAAGCATATTTGTCTTTGCTTTTTATGTGTTCCTATATTAGTTTTATTCAGTTTAATATTCATATATTCTCTGCATTTACGTATTCTAAGAGCCATGTGTAAAAGTCTATCAGAGAAAGCATGAGGTTTAAATGAGTTAATTAATTATTGTAAATCACAGAAAAATGCTTGGTAAACAGTAGACACTCAATAAATGTTAACTATTTTTTGGTTATGTATTGCTTCTTTGGTGTTTATACTTTGCCTACATATATGTCTCTCTGTTTTAACTCCCCAACCAGATGGTAAATCTGTATTTTAAACATCTTAAAAAACAAAACAAAAAACTTGGAGTTGAACAGTGGATCTTGCATGTGCTAGGTGTTTAGTAAGTATTTGCTGATTGATGTTTAAATGAATACAAACCAAAGAAATGGTGGTGGAGGACGGGGGGATAAAGAAGGAAATATTTTCAAAGTGGCCTTCTATTTGACACATCAATAAAAATAATCCTATTTTCACCAAACTGTCTGGAGAGACATTTTCATCTTTTCCTTTGTCCCCAAAGGACTTGTTTCTTTCTCAGTGTATTTATATCATATTGAATGTCAGCAATATTCTTCTCTTAATAACTTTAAAGTAGAGCTCAAAAGAAGGTGTATCAGCCTCACAAAGGAAAGATTCTCCCCAGGAAATCCTTGATGGAATACAACAGCTGTGCTAAAGGAACCAGTTTTAAAGAACAAGTCTTAGTTCCAGTTTGGGAGTGCCTTCTTTCAAAGATCACTGATGCAGTAACATTGCATTAAATTAAATATTGACTAATAACAAAACCTAGGAAACACAATGCAAGTAATACTTATCTTTCCTAAACTCCAAAAAGAGATTATCAAAATTGAATTGCTCTAAATTGAAGAGGTTACAATATATCAAACACGAGATCCATCAATTTTCTAGGCAATGGAAGAAATTTCATTCTTTTCTTTGAATAGTATAATACATTTATAAGTGGAGATGTTTGGACCACAATGTTTGAGTGGCATGAAAGATTCAATGTCATGGACAAAGAATTCACTTCCTCCTCCCAACAATGTCCCACTGAGTCTTCTTTGTTCAACAAAAGCACATAATTCACTGGTAAATAACTGCCTTATTTTTGTTGTATCATACAAAGACTGGATTAATAATAATAAAAGTAATAGCTGATGTTAATTATGTACTTTCTAATTTAACTCTCAAAACCCTATGGAGTAAGATAATTTTTATTACCTTTCTTTTGCAGAAAACTGAAGCTTAAGAAAATCAAACAACTTATTCCAGGCCTAATTACTAAGTGATAAAACACATCAGTATGTCTGAATTCATAGTGTGCCTCTCTCCTAGCTGCCTGGCCCTCATGCCAAAGTAACAGTAGAATAAACTCTCCATTCATTTCTCTTGTACCTGTAATCAAACCTTCATTATGCTGGTCCTATTGCCCAGAAATCTGATTGGTGATATGACAACAGATGAACTACAACAACTTATCACAACTAAAATGTCAGCTAGTTAATTATCACCTCTCTACAAAAACATACTGTCTTACACTCACGTTAGATCAATAAGAGCCTTTACCATTACCAAGGGAATTTCAGAAGTCAGGGTTAATTAGAGGAATGAATGTGTTCGTTTGGGGGTTAGCTTTGGGAGACAAAGGAGTCTCCATTCATCATCATACCAATACACATGAGAAGTATTTTTTCTATGAATGGTCCATCTTAATTCTTAAAAACATTGCTATACAGTTTAGGTACCAACTGTCTGTATGTGCCTCTTCACGTATGGCAAACAATGTGAATGCTAACCACACTGAGCTTGAAGGGAACAACACAAGAAAACGCAAGTGGGAAAGTCACTGATATAAATCCAATTTCTAGGCTAGTGTTTCTTAAAGTACACTCCAGAAGATGTTAATAAAAAGAACATAGATGGAAAGTGATGTAATTTCAAAGTATGCTTGGGGAATACTGCTTATTGTAGTCTCTCTTAGAGACTCGGAAATATAAAGACTCAGATGTCCCACAGTAAATAAACCAATTAATCTGCATTTGAGTCAGTGTTACCAAATGCAATGTCTAATGAACGTTCTTAGATATTGGGGTTCAATGAAACACACTTTGGGATACATGAATGCAATCACTGAAGAGAGAAAGAAAAATAAAAAGGAACAGTGATGGCTGGATTCCAATCATAAACTTCAGGTGGTTTCCAGTTGGGACCTGGATTAAGTAGAATGAAGCTACTATACATCTGGGTGGTGCAAGTCATCATAGACTGATGCTGGAACATCCCCTTGCAATCTGAATGGATTTACACAAGGGAAGTTGATTCATAACTCATGTGACAATTTTATGTGGTAATTTAAGGACCCAGGATTCTTCTCTCTTGTGCCTTGAACATCCCCTTGGTACCTCAAAGTTATCTTCTGTATTCTCAGTATCAGACAAGAAAAAACAAAGAATAGAGGCTCTCACAGGAAGGTTTTTGGTCCAAACTTGGAAGTGGTATGCATCACTTCTTACATTCTATTACCTAGAAGCCAGGCACATGGCCATACTTTACTATGAAAGAGTATGAGTAATGCAGTCTAGCTGTGTGTCATAAGAAAAGAACACCATTTGGTGACTATTATCTGCTACAGACAAGATTAAAATCTGAATAGAAGTCAAAGAACAATCTGAAGAACACCTTGGCCCCAGAACCCAGATTGGCTCTCTCCATCAAATTCTCAAACAAATTTCCCATGGACATCAGAGTTTATAATTTTACCTTGGAATTGAGAATCTTGGTTTAATGAGCATCCATCTATTTCTTTGCCTACTTCAAACAGAAACTGATTGTGCTTTCCAAACGACAGAATGGGAGAGCAAAGTCTCCTGGGGAAGAATAAACAATAAAATTACAGCAGCATTTAAGGCTTCTCATCCCTGCAAAACAATGCTTTTTGGTCAGTTAAAGAAGGAACCTTTCTTAAAAGCCTAATAGGAAGCAATACGAAGAATATGAGTATGTCAGTTCATCAGTTCGGTGTACAGAGCTCTCTTTTTTCTTCCTTGACAAGGGACTTACTAAATATGCCAAGAACATTTATTCTCACAAGAGGTTAGCAGAGATGTTATATAAATGGACTTTCAAGTGACTGATGACACACAATAATGCCTTACATTAATTGGAGCATATGTCATATGTCAAGTCACAGCCTTCACATAGGTGGGTATGTGTGCATGGTTATTATAACACCAGCTGTTACAGGATGAGGTGCTTATGAAAGAATTCTCCATGAATATAAATAGACACTGGCTCACCTACACAGGGAAGAAATACTGTCAAATCTCTACCAGTAGCCTGACATAGCAAGGGACTAAGTATTGAGATAGCGCTATTCACTAAATATGAAATTCAAGTATCACAGGGGCAACTCATTTGCTGGAAATTCCAGGAACACAGTGGTTAGTAAGTAAATACCTGTTGATTTGGCAGGGAGCAAAGAAGTAGGATTTAGAAGAAAAACTTCCCTTGAATGTTGTCATTGGTAAGAAAATCCTACTGGAGCCTCAAAGGCCATGCTGCAACCCCTGCTCCCGAGTCCTGCGATGGAAATAATATCACTCCCATTTTACAGAGAGGTTTATACGAGCAGAAAATAATGGATCCAGAGTTTGAAACTGATCTTTTTGGTTCCAATGCCTGCCTTTTGCCTTCGGCATCATTCTGTCTACCTCTTCTAAACTGACGGAAAACAATCCATGGTGACATGTCCTAGTTTCTGAACCATTTCCAACCAGAGGTAATTTTCTTAAATATATCCATGAAAGCTATTATATTTTGCTATCTCAAAGAATAAATTTTTTCAAGATATTGAGGTTTGCTTTCGTTTTGCTAAATGGCAGAGTATGTCCGGATCTTGCCACTTTGCTTTATTTAAAATAACTTCTATAAATGTGCATTTTCTGAAGATGTATAAAAAATTCTCCTTGTTTTCTAAGCTATTGTGCCTGTGTCATGGATAATAAGATTGAGATAATCATATCAAACATCTAAACAGATTGAAAATGAATCTATCCTATGCCACACATGCCTTACATATAGGAAATATCAGCACTTAATAAATATTTACTGAATAAAAGAATGACTGGGAACTTCATATGGCATTTGGGAAGTGTTTGAAAAACTAGCAAGTATCTTGCCATTATTTAGTTCTCTCTCTATGTATCTGGTTGAGTGATATAAAATAGGAATCAGAAGAATATCCATTGGCCTTAATAACAGATAATAACTCAGTTTAATTACAGATAATAGTTTTCTTTAGTGGTATAAAAATACGACTACAAAATAATGAGACATATTTTAAATGAACACTTCAAATAAACGTATCAAAAATAAATATTATCCTTAAATTAGTATATTAAGAAGTTATGATATCATTTCAACATTCATAGCATGTTTTAAAACAGTGTGGGACTACCTCAAGTGAAACTGCTTCCACAGAGGCAGGGAATAAAGGAGACCGTGTCAGGAGGAAGTCCAGTGAATCGAATCCTACCTGAACCTCTGAGGAAGTGGCCCAGGGCCCACCAGGCAGATGGCTCTCATAAGGAAATTTAGCAGTTGGAGAACGGGAGCAGCTGGCTCCAACTAACTTGGCCACAAGGACAAACATGTAAAAGAAACACTTAGGCACATAATAGACTCTCTGCCAAAGAGCTACTTCTGACTGTTGCTTCCTCCACACTCTCTATAGGGGTAAAATGGACCTGTGATCTGCCAAAATAAAACCACAGCAAATAAAAACTGTTCCTTCACCCATCAGTTGAGACTGAAATATTCAAGAGCTTATCCGCATAAATTTTCATAAAACTCACCCCAATTCCTAATACTTGGAAAATGTAGCAATCTTCTTCTTCCTGTAAGAGTGAATGAATAGCCCTGTTGGTGTGTCTCAGGGGTTGAGCATTGGCCTATGCACCAGGAGGTCTCTGGTTCCATTCCTGGTCAGGGCACATGCTGGGATTGCAGGCTCAATGCCCAGTAAGGGACGTGCAGGAGGCAGCCAGTTGATGTTTCTCTCATCATCGATGTTTCTATCTCTCTCCCTCTCCTTTTCTCTCTCTGAAATCAATAAAAATATATTTTTAAAAAAAGAATGAATGAACAGATAAAAAGCTCCAGTCATATAAAGAATACTTAGTAGTTGAAAAGGAGGAGAGAGAGATAGAGTTAAGAACAGAGATAGAGGCAGACAAAAGTGGAGATAGAGACACACATAAGTATATGTACACATTGTTACATACAACATTTACTGCAAGAAAAATTTTTAAAAATTATATCTCAATTATGTGAAAGAAATTTAGTGAAAAAATCACTCTAAGAAAAGTAAACAGCAAATTTTATATTTAAAAATTACATGAGTGTAGTCATTAAAATTACAGTGAAGAAAGGCCACAGAGAATTCAAGTTTCAGAAGACAGAACTAGAAGACAAACATTTTCCTCATTAATTCAGAAGATTGCAGACAATGAGAAAATGAGCAAAAGGAAAAGAGGAATGCATGGCACATCAGATATTATTATATATACTATACATGTAATAAGTAAGAACAGAGTTAGTAGATAAAAATAATTAAAGAAGTAACAGAAGTAAAGGTCCTTGAATTGACAGAAGGACTGATTCTTTAGATCAAAGGCTTTATTCCAAGTATGGGACAAAATTAACAAAATACCCATTCATCAGGACTCCATATGTTTCCACTATACATTTCATGTGTAAGGAAAACTATAAGGAGCTAGGGAAAAGAAACCAAATCCTACACGATAGGGGGGGAAAACTCTTATTTATACCAAAATCTCCTCCTGAACATAAAATGATAGAAGGTGAAATGTATAAAATTTTGAGAATAAAGACTATGATCTAAGATTTCTATACTTAGTCAATCCACTTATATCTGAAGGTAGCACAAAGACTTCCTCAGACATAACAATCATTTTCTTAGTATTCCATAAACATACATGCTGCTATAAAAAAGCAGGAAGTCTTACCTTTTGCAACAGCATGGATAGACCTGGAGATTATTGTGATAACCAAAATAAGCCAGGCAGAGAAAGACAAATACCATATGATCTCACTTATATATGGAATCTAGTGAACAAAATAAACCGATAAACAAAATAGAACCAGAAGCATGGATACAAGGAACAGACTGACAAAGGACAGAAGGGAGGGGGTGGGAGGACTGGATAAAAGAGGATGAAGAGATTAGCCAAAGAACATATATGCATAGCCCATGGACACAGTCGACAGTGTGGTGATGACCACAGGGACGGGTGTGGGGCTGGGTGGAGGTAGGTAAAGGGGGAAAATGTGGGACATCTGTAATAGTGTCAACAATAAAAAAAGAAAGAAATAATACTCACAAACGCAGACAACAGTGTGGTGATTGCTAGAGGGAGGGAGTAGGGAAAAGTGAAGGAGGGTATAAGGGGATAAATGGTGATAGAATGAGACTTGACTTGGGGTGCTGAACACACAATATGTGTTGTGAAACTGGGTACCTGAAACCTGTATAATTTTGTTAACCGGTGTCACCCCAATAAATTCAATAAAAAGGAAAAATAAATAAATAAACATTCAAAATAAAGAAATAAGAGGAGGACATCTCAAAAACCTTACTTAACAATACGTTTTTTAAAAGTAACCTTAAGTAAGACGGACTAGGAAAAAATGGTAGAAATAAAACAAAGAAAAAAAATTCAACCAGTTGATAATTAAGCAAGTTAAAATTTAATGCTTACTTAATTTTAACAAAATATCATGAAAATCCTTACACAGGTATATCATAATTATCACATGGATTTTAAGAGTTATTGACTCCAAAAAGCATCCTAATTTATTTTATTTTCCTTTTTATTACACTTATTGAGGTAACATTAATTAATGAAATTATATAGTTTCAGGTATACAATTCTATAATACATCACCTGTACACTGTATTGTTTTCAATACCCCAGGTCAAGTTTCATTCCATCACCATTTATCCCCCCGGTACCCTTCTCCACCTCTTCTTGCCCACCCTCTCCCTGAAAATCACCACACTGTTGTCCATGTCAAAAGGTTTTTTCACTGTTTTTGCTGTTTTGCTCAATCTTTCCACCCTGCCAGTCTAATTTTAAAGATGTTACAGGTGAGGACATGAATCTTCAAAATTATTGAATAAGGTCATTAATTTCCAGATAATTGAGATAATATGTAATGTAGTAAATTAATTTCAAAGGAAAAGAAACAATATTTTTAAAACAAGGTATAGAATTTCCTAACATTATTTTTAAAGCTGGAAGGACTGGAGAGAAATTTAAGGAAGAAAAAGGTATTTTCTATTTTAAAAGAATGAATCAACATAGTAGAAAACCTAGATGACCTTGGATAGGGTGATGACTTTTTAAATACAGCACAAAGGGCATGGTGCATAAATAAATAATTGATAAGCTAGATTTCATTAAAATAAAAAACATTTGCTTTGTGAAAGACACTATTAAGAGAATGAATAGGCAAGCCACAGAGTGATGAAAATATTTGGAAAAGGTACAGATGATAAAGGACTGTTAACCCAAAATATACAAAGAACACTTAAAACTCAATAATAAGAAAACAAAAAAATGAACTGACAAACGGGTAAAAGACCTAAGCAGACACCTCACCAAAGAAGATATACATATAGCAATAAGCAGAAGAAAAGATGCTTTGCATAATATGTCAACAAAAATGCAAATTAAAACAACAGTGAGATACCACTACACACCTATTACAATATCCAAAATCCAAAACACAGTTAATACCAAGTGCTGGTGAGAATGCAGAGCAATAGAAACTCTCAGGTGGGAAT